GTCTAGGTGTTTCTAGGTGTTTCCCTGTTTGTGGCATTTGGTGATCCAAGGGATTTGTTCGGTGGGCTGAATGAAGGAGACGGTCACCAACCATCTCTCCAACCATTGCCCTGCAAATCTACTCTGGGGATCTCCAAGGGGTAACATCTCCAGGGAGTCCACGCCACTTTTTGGCATTAGACCAGTCTTATTTCTGGGTAGTAAAAAGCCCAGTCCAAGTTGATGGCAAAACCTCAATGTCAATGAAATCCATTCTTTTAGCCTCCTACTGGGACCACAGTGTGCATGTATGTGTGGATGTGGGTGCACACGTGTGTGCATATGTGTGTGTACATGCACAGGATACAACTCTGACTTCATGACTCCTTCATCTTTTGCTTCCACTCTCCTTCCTTACAGCAAGAACTGCCTTTGATTCTAGAGATGTTAACTTATAACATGGGAAGTTGGAGCTCAGGGTTGCCTGCTCTGAGTTCAAAACTGATGTGTGGTAGGCAAAACCTCACTCGCCTGATGTTCCCAATGGCGTCTGCCATGCCAACTTGATCAGTGACATTTACTACCACTCTAAAGTGCTGGATCCTTCCAGAATCCTCCCTTCCATCCCAAATATTGCCAGGTAACCATAATCATATGTGTTTTTATAGGAGGCTAGTGAACCTTCCATTCCACTTATGCAAGAGTGACAGAAAAGGAGAAGTGAGAAGGCCACCCAGTACCTCCAATGATCAGTCACTACCCGAGTTACCCTCACAAGAGAAAGATGTAATTGTGATCATCTGTGCACATATTCCTTTCCTGTTCTGCCTTCCCAGAGCTGGATGCTTGGGAGGTCCACCCAGTTCCTCTCATAATTCACTTCTTGTACACAACTCCGCACCCCTGGCGCTCACTCACGTCTGCCTTCTGTGAGGGGCAGTGTGTGTGTCAGGGCCGGGCACACACCCAGGACTCTCTGGTCTACACCCCCGATTGAGACCAATGTCTAGGAAATGTGGAATTGGAATTTTAACTCTTGTCTATTTTCTTCTCTTCCACCTAGGAGAACCAGGACATCCTGGTGGTCCAGGGAAGGATGGAATGAATGGACAGAAAGGAGAGCGAGGTCAGAAATTGTGTTCCATTTTACCATGCTCTAATTCTGAGCCACCGATGACTTAATAACCATTTGGTGCTCACCAAGGACAAGCCCTTTGCTAGGCTCTGAGGACGATCTAACAATAGGGCAACATGGCTCTTGCTCTCCAGGAGCTTGTGATTCTTTTTCTGTAAAGGGAAAGACTGTAAGTAATTTCAGCTTCTCAGGCCATGTGGTCTCCGGCACAACTGTCATGAAAAGCAGCCAAGGATGCTACATAAGTAAGCGGGGCTGTGTTCTAATGAAACTCTATGAAAACTGAAATCTGAATCTTATATAATTTTCATGTATTGTCGAATATTATTTGTGATCATTTAAAAATGCAAACCATTCTTAGCTTGTGGGCCATACAAACAGGTGGGAGGCTGGATTTGGCTCACGGGCCATGGTTCGCTGAAGCCTGGGTTAGTGGATGAAGATTGAGGAGTGACATTAAATTCCGACTCAGGGCTTCTGGCAAGACTGCATGGAGAAGGTGGCACTGGAATTGGGCCCTGAGGGGTAAAGAGGGCTCCGGTAGTTGCGACTGATGGGGAGAGAGAATAGTCACAAGAGCAAACACAAATAATGCTCACTTTGTGCTAGGGTGTTCTAAGTGCTTTTCACGTACTGACTCAATATGACAGTCTATACATGAGGTAGTATCATTATCCCAATTTTACAGATGAGGGAACAGAGGTGTAGGTGGCTCATCAGCTTGCCTAACATCACATTGTGCCTCCGTAGAGGAGGCAGGATGGAATCCTGGCATTTAACTCCGGACTCTGTGCTCATAACCACTGCTGTCCAGTCGGGGAGGAGGAGACAGGGAAGCACCGAGAACGTGTGCGCAGTGAGGACCAGCGTGAGACAGTCGATACAGTGGGCAGCAGAGAGCAGTGACTGCCACACTTTAGGAAGACTTTATTCTGTGCTCACTCCTGTGAGGAGCTTTGTAGGGGATGTCACAGAACTAGGGCTGAGTTGTCAGTTAACTGAAAGCAGCCTGAGTTCATCTGCCTTTGGACGTTCTTCCCTCTTCCAAAGATGTGTTCTCAAGGCTTGGCATTGCTTAGTGGTCAAAGACTAGGCTGTGATGGTAAAGAGCTGTAATTTCTAATGTGAACCCCAACACTAACACAGTAGACAGGAGTCAGAAGGTGTTTTGCAGCCACACACATGTGTGTGTGTGTGTGTACGCTGTGCACTCAATTTAGGAGTAAATTAATGTTCAGACCCCGAGCATCTACTGATACTGGGCACTGCTTTATTTCATATGTATGCTCACCAATGGAAAAGCCAAAGTTAGTTTTAGAAGTTGATGTTTCACAAATCATCTTTTCCTTTATTCTCTCTTTTTCCACCTAGGAGCAGATGGAAAAGTTGAAGCCAAAGGCGTCAAAGGCGATCAAGGCTCACAAGGACCCCCAGGGAAACATGGGCCAAAGGGATTTGTTGGTCCCATGGGAGAGAAGGGCCTCAGGGGAGAGACTGGCCCTCAAGGGCAAAAGGGGGATAAAGGCAGTGTGGGGCCCACCGGTCCAGAAGGGCTAAAAGGCAGCACTGGGCCTTCAGGCCCAATGGGTCTACCTGGCCCCATGGGCCCCATTGGGAAGCCTGGACCCAAGGGAGATGTTGGGCCCTTGGGACCCCAGGGAGATCCAGGAGTCCGGGGAATGAGAGGCTGGAAAGGGGACCGAGGCGAGAAAGGGAAAACTGGCGAGACTCCAGTCTTGCCCAAGAGTGCTTTCACGGTGGGGCTCACGGTACTGAGCAAGTTTCCTACTTCAGATGTGCCCATTAAATTTGATAAGATCCTGTATAATGAGTTCAATCATTACGACATAGCCACGGGGAAGTTCACTTGCCACATTACCGGGGTCTATTACTTCACCTACCACATCACGGTTTTCTCCAGGAATGTTCAGGTATCTTTGATCAAAAATGGGGTGAAAATACTGAACACCAAGGACGGTTACATGAGCTCTGAGGACCAGGCGTCGGGTGGCATGGTGCTGCCGCTGAAGCTGGGGGACGAGGTGTGGATGCAGGCCACAGGAGGGGAGAGGTTTAACGGCTTGTTTGCAGATGAGGACGATGACACGACTTTCACAGGCTTCCTTCTGTTCAGCAGCCAGTGATGCGGAGATGTGTAGGGACCTGCCTCCCCACCCCTCGGAGCTGGCTTGCTGGACATGTTCTCAGATGATTCTGCTCTATGAATCATTCTCATTATTGTAATAATCATAGAGGGGCAACAATACGACAGCTATTCCCAAAGCTGATTTTGTGTGACTTATATTATTGTTTCCAACAGTAAGTTTAAAAATGCTTGCGCTGGGGCGCCTGGCTGGCTCAGTCGGTGGAGCATGTGACTCTTGATCTCAGGGTCATGAGTTCGAGCCCCATGTTGGGTGTAGAGATTACTTAAAAATAAAATCTGGGGGCGCCTGGCTGGGTCAATTGGTAAAGCATGCAACTCTCGATTTTGGGGCCATGAGTTGGAACCCCACATTGGGTGCAGAGATTACTTTTAAAAAATAAAATAAAAATCATATAAATAAATAAAATCTTAATGCTTGCATTATTATAATTTATTTACGATTTTTCATCATTCCCCTCATCTGAAAAGTGCTTTGCATGTATGTTTCTTGCGGGACCCGTGTTCTGATGTCATTTTAGTGCTTGAAGGAGGTGTGTCAGGACTTATCCCTCATCTGAATTTCTGAGGACACTGGGAGAAAGGAGAGGGAAGTGTTCCAATGTTCATTCCATTTAGTAGCTAATAAAAGTTGTAAGCAGGTGATGACGAGACATCCCAGAAAGCTGCGGAATACTTTGCTTATTTTGTAACCTATGTTTTAATCACCATTCAGCTCAACAAATAGTTCTTGAATCTGTGCTCGGTTCCTGGGACTGCCGTAACAAAGTACCACAAACTGGGGAATTTAAAATAACAGAAAGTGATTATCTCACAGGGCTGGAGGCTAGAAGTCTAAAATCAAGGTGTCAGCAGCACCAGTCTCCCTCAGAAGCCTCTGAGGAGGGTTCTACCTTGCTGCTTCTAGCTTTTGGTGGACCCAGGCATTCCCCGGCTTGTGGAAGCATCCAGCTCTACCCCGATCTGCACATGGCAGTCTTCCCTCCATGTCTGCCTGTGTGCAAGCATCCCTCTTCTGATAAGGACACCAGTCATTTGGAATAGGGACCACCCTAATCTACTATGACCTCATTTTAACCTGATTACATCTGCAAAGACCCTGAGTCCAAATAGTCACAATCATAGAAACCAAAGGTTAGGACTTGGATGTATCTGTTTGGGAGACACCGTTCAACCTGTAATAGACTGCTCTGGTCCCCTCAAATTCACAATCTTCCCCAGTGCCGAATACACTCTCCCCAACCCACATCCCCCACAGTCTTAACAATGTCAGCATCAATGCTAACTCTAAGAATCTCATCTAAAAATCACCAGCTCAAAGTCCCCAATCTCATCATCTAAATCCTTTATGTCAGTTATAAGTAAGATCTATTGTGTGACACATCCTGGGGCGAAATCCCTCTCCCTCTGTGAAACTGCAAAACCAGACACATTATTTGCTTCCAAAATACAATGGTGGGAAAGGCACAGGATAGACAGTCCCATTCCAAAAGGGAGAAAAAGGAAGGGAAAAAAAAGTGATCACAGGTCTCAAAGGAGACCAAAACCCTTTCGCAAGGCGAATTCCATTAGATGTTTTTCACTATTTACCTTATAAAATTTTTAAATGAGCTATGCAAAAGGAAGAGATTACTGGACAGAGACACCAAACAGTTACAGAGGAAAGTGCAGGATGGAGATGAATTTACTAAGAAAGTGGGGTGAAAAGAAACTTGCCTTTTAGGCCACCGCAGATATTTCTTGGTCAGACGCGTCCCATCCACTTCCCTCTCGTCTGGTAAAAGCATCCTGGTGTGCACTTTCAGACAAGTCTTTCAAACGGTGTATACTCTACACTCTGCGATGGATGTGAGATTCAGGCCTGGCTAATAAGAACAGCACCTTCTTCTGGCCACAGTGACTATTTCCAAAATGGCGCCTTATCAATCAGAGCCAATGAGATGTAATCTGCAACTGTGGAAGGCCTATTGGGGGAAAAAAAAGGCAAGATCTTCTTCAGGTGAAGCTAGAACTTCAGCTGGCATGCATTTAGCTAATCTGTTGAGCCCCCAAACAAAATCAAACAGGGCTGGAGATAATCCAGGACATTGTTTAGACCCCTACACCCAGCTGTCCCTGAAGGCAGAGATACCTCTGGACTATTGTATTGCACGAGCCAGTCTGATGCAGGGTTTTTATTGTTATTGTCATTGTTACTACTGCTTTTGTCCAAAAGAATATTAAGTAGTCAATGGCCCAAGGAGAGGGGCAGCATGATTGTAGAGAAAAAAGCCCAAGACTAAGAGTTGAGGTGTATGGGTGGTTGTTCCAGCCATGACAAAGGAATGTGAAATGGGTACCTTATTCAGCTTTTCTGTGCTCCTATCTCCTACTGTACAGCAGTGCTGGAATGGAATAATTTCATATGATCCCAAGCCTCTAAAATTCTGGAAGGATTACATATGCCTAAGTTAACTCAGTATACTTTTCTATTAATTAAGAGCAACTAATAAAGAAGCAAAAGGCTGCAAGCTCACTGCATATTCAAGCTACACTATTTTCCAAATCACATCCTGGGCCAGTTTGTCTGACAGGACGTGCCTCTAGAAATTGGGACTTCAAGCCATTCTATCCATACTCCAACCAAGTCTACACAGTTGTGATGATATCTTCATTCCCTCGGAAAAATGAGACTTTTGTAAATTAACATTATGAACATTACAGCACTGCTGTAAATGAAATATTGAAAAATTACTTGGTTGTGGAAAATGTTGGAAAGATACAGAAATAATTTGTTTATAGGTATTTTACTGGCCTTCCTTAACTTGTTTCTTCTAGAACAGAGCCAGGACTAGGGGGAAGCAAGTGAGGCACCCAGGGTGTGACACTGAAGGAGGCGCCCCCCTTCAGGTGCTGACACAGCCTGTGCATGACCCTGACAGTTGAGTGTCTCCTTCAATTTTGCAGCCCAGTCCCTGCATCTGCCTTGCTGCCCTACTTATGCTCAGCTGTAGCATGACTGATCACTTTATTTATTGAGCCAGAGTGTCCTTATTCTTTGGCTTCTGTGGCTTTTTGGAATTGTAATAATCTAAGCTATTTCTCCCCAGTGTAAAGCCTGGTTTTGTTATGGACTGAATACGAAGAATACCTGTGCTCACTCCTTTCTATTTAGGATCACAACTTTATAGGTTGAGATAGACATGAAGAAAAAACACATTTACGATTGTACAGAGGATACCAGATTTTATAAAAAAATTTTTTTTAGGTCAAATATAGAAGATGAGATGTAAAACATATTTTAAGGATTTCAAAAAGATGAAGTTGACTGGCAGGGATTGGGTGTGTCTAATCTGCCATTTGGGATGGTTTTTCATTGGTTGTCGATGAATCTGGACTGCAGTTTTTGAAAGTCTAACTATGCCAGGCTCTCTGAGACACCGGATACCTTGTTAATTTAGGACAAATCATTATCCCCTGAGGACAATTTTAGGCTTAAATGTTGCATTACAATGGTTAGGTATCCTTCTATGACAACCATTCTGGGCTAAAGGAAGGCTCTCAGAAAAAAAATATGTAAGGATTTTTGTCAAATATATTGATGAATTTTCTTTTTTACATGACACATCTGACATCTTTGTAAGGGTCTGCTACACAGGCATTAGGTCTGTCATGTGGTGTGGCTGCCCTAAGAACCAACCAGTTACCAATAATGTGATAGATATTAATCACCATGGAGGTAGGGACTCAGGGACTTTAAATCATTTAAAATATTTCATTTAAAAAATCAGTAGAAAATGAAATCATAACTTACCATACAATCAATTGGGCTTTTCCTCTCTGCCAGGCTAAATTGAAAACAAACTCCATTTGAAACTTTTTTTTTGGGGGGTGGTGTGGAGAGAGGGAGGGGGGTTAGAAGCTATCTATAGGAAGCATGTGCCACTCCTGGCCTTAACTTTTGGCTCTCTGGAACTTTCCAGGAGGTTCTGAGGACTGCTTAAACCCAACAGGCAATGTTAAAATGAACACAGCTTTACCCTAAGCCCAAACATTCAGGTGAGATAAAGGTCTGGAATGACTTCAAATAAAGCAATTTAAGAAAACGTGACTGTGGATTGCCCGGGAACAAAAAGGTTCACTTGGGTTCTTGGTCCACTGCACAAGTCACACCTCTGACACCCAAGGCAAAGGAATCAACCTCCTGTGGTCAGAAGACCACAGCCATCAATGCCCTCTGCACTCAGACACTGATTTAACAGAATCACTTGGTATCTAGTTCCTGCATAAAACCTAGGCAGAGAAGGGTGCCTGGGTGGCTCAGCGGGTGAAGCATTGAACTCTTGATCTCAGCTCAGGTCTTGATCTCAGGGTTGTGAGTTTGGACCTGCACTGGGCTCCACCGTGGGTGTGGAGCCCACTTTAAAAAAACAAACAAAAACAGGTGGAGAGCAGTATTTTGAGGAGCTGGCTGGAGGCTGCAGTAGCCAGCCCTCCCTTGTTTACTTTCCTGGGTGGGGGGAGGGGGCGGTTCTTCTCATACCCACACACCTGGCTTCACGTCTGCAGGAGGGTCAATTCTCAAGGGGTCCATCCCATGTGGATTCGCCATTCCGCAGCATCCCGCTCAACCCTGAAAGTGAGAGCCCAAGAAGTGGCAGGTGCGTGGAGTGAGACGGCCAGGCAAATGTGAGGGTTGCTTCGGCGGCCTCACTTCCCCTCAGTCCCTTCTCCCAACTACTGATTTTTTCCACTATCCACCTACAGAAGTCTCTCAAAAGAAAAACACCTTACTATTAACTAAACCCTTTCACTTAATCTGCATGCACTTCAGGAAGGTAGCGGAGGCAGGCACCTCGCACGATTCCTTCTGCAGAGGAAGATGTTGAAGTTGAGCAAGGTTAAGTCTCCCACCCTGGACAAGAACCTGGTCCTGGCTCCAACTGCGGCGTAATTTCCATTCATTTAGGGGAGGCTAAGGCTGTCCAGAGTCCCCGGCCCTTTTCCACACTGGCCATCCTAAGCCCCAAATCACAATTCCCTCTCCGCCTCCTGCCCCCAAATCTTCTCATTCCCCTATGGTTGAATGAAGGTTGCAAAACCCTCCCTCTACAAATTTATAGATTATTAGAACAAAATTTACAAGTCAAAATAAAGGAAGATTCACTGATAGGTAGTGGAGTCGGTTCCACACAACCATACGGTGCAGCCACACCGTCTATTTAATTTCAGCCATCGTTTAGAGTGGAGTCCGATAGAGTCGACGAGTGTCACCAGCCCTGTCACGTCGGGGAAGGCACTCAGGCGCCGTTCACTGAGCGTTCACTGCTCCTCCTGGAAGAACTCACCCTGCAGGGAGACTGTGCGTCCCGCTCGAGTCACGTGGGAGGGACGAATTAAACCTCCGCGGGTCCTTACTCCAGGCACACGGGGGCGCAAGACCGCAGCGTCTGCCGTGAAGCGGCGGGGCGACGCTTTTGCCCTCTGGACGCCGACGTGCTCACGTCCTGAGGGCCTCGGGCCCCGACCCGGAAGCGCTGGCGTCACGTGGCGTGGCGTGGGCCGGTGCCTTGGAAACGTGGCGCGCGTGCTCGCGGCAGGAGCTGCGGTGCAGGGGCGGGGCCTCGCGGCGTGGGAAGGGGCTGCTCTGGGATCAAGATGCTATACGCCTGGAGGCTGGGGGGGCTCGGACTCCGGGCAGCGGCTCTATGGCCGGGGCGAGCGGGCCTGGGCGGCGTCGGACCCGGGATCCGGGCCCGAGAGGTCAGCACCAGCTGGTCCCCGGTGGGCGCCGCCTTCAATGTCAAGCCCCAGGGTCGCCGTCTGGACCTGTTCGGCGAGCGCCGGGTGAGCGGCGCGGGAGGGAGCTCCCCTTGTCCCCCCGACATAAGCCGGTCCTTTCTCTGAGTGGCCAGCAGGGATCTGAAAGGGGTCCTTTGGGTCTGGGAGGAGCCGGGCAGCGAACCCACTTTGTACGGTAGGGTGTCGTTTGCGCTCTTGGTGACCTTGTCCGTCACCTCCCCTTTGAGGGGCTGGTTTAAGGAAGCGGGGCGGCCTTTGTTGGTCCTGTCCCCAGAGTGTGGGCCCCAGGACCTGCCTCTTCGTGCTCCCCTGCGCCACGTGAACTCAAAATAGTTCATCTCGCGGGTGGCGGTGAATTCCTCCTGGAGGGTCCCGCCCTCGCCTCACACTCAGACCAATCCCCGCTAAAGTTCACTTTTGCTCCAACCCTACGCTTGAGCATTGGAGGCCTTGCCCTGCAGTTCATAGGGGGATCTAATCTTGTAGTTACTAATTCCATTGATGCTCGAAATTCCGTTCTTAATTTTTTCCCAAGTTTTGGGCTCTTTTGTTTTAAAACACAAAACCGTTGAGAACAGTCTAATTTCCTATAATGCGATGACATTGATCACGTTGATTTCTTCCCCCAGGAAGTCACTGATTGAATTCTTTGGTTGCTATTTATTTTCTATCTCCACACACCTAGTATGGTATCTGGCATTCCCTAGGCACTCAGTGTTTATTGAGTTGATTAAAGGTGAAAGGAGGGCGAGCTTGAAAGGGACTTACCTGATGCCCGTTCTACTTTGCATTTGCGGGTTTTATCCACTTCAGGTTGTTACTTTTATTTTTGCCTGTTTAATTTTTTCATTATTTATAACATTGCCTTTCTTATAAAGAGTCTAGGACTTGGTTACACCGAGCCTAGTGATGTGTTTTCTTATTTGATCTCTGTCATTAGCTTTGTTTTAAAAATATTTTTGTATGAAATTTGCTACACCAACTTCCCTATGGGTAAGTAACAATATGGTTTTAACATAATTAGGGTGAGGAGGAGAACGACTGCCTATAGGTACTGAGTAGAAAGATGAAAAAAGTAAGCTTGGTTTTGGGTGGATGAAATATAACCAATTTTAGCTTTATTTTTCTTTTGTATATCATGATTTTAGAACTGATAACAGATTTTCAAACATGTGAATTGGTTTTTGATTAAAGAACAACAAAAAACCCCAAAGGTTTATGTAGTTTTTTGTCATTACCATAACTAGTAGTCTGAGGTTTAGAATTCCCATCCTCCAGTATGAGGAGGTGTGTTGGGAAATGAAAAATAGTCTGTACTTGAATCAAATTAAATCAGTGTAAAGAATCTAATTTGGTTTTGGTCCCAATTCTGCTCTGCCTGCAACTGCCTTTTCTTCAACTTCTTAATCATTTTGAAAAGACGTTAATTTCATGCATCCCTTCTTGCAGAAACAGTAGGCCTTATCAGTCCTGAAAGTTTGACCTCTTGCTGTTTTCAAAAATCAACATGTTAGTCATCTACAAAGTGGCTAAGCTGGATGTTGAACCTTTATCATTCTATTTTTGTTTTTTATGAAATAATTAAAAATTAAAAATTCCATTCTTAAAATATTCGTAGTTTAATTTATGTGGAATGATGCGGGGAATGTGAACATGGTGTCTGTGATCACAAGTCTTATAATGATAGGATACACCAACGAAAACCAAGATTTCCTTTATGAAAAAAGGACTTAATACCAAAAAATCATATTTTTAGTTACACATTGGAACTATTGTCTGGATTGCAGGGTCTTTTTGGAGTTCCTGAGTTCAGCGCCCCAGAAGGATTTCGGATCGCACAAGAAAACGCCCTGAGAAAGGCGGACTTGCTCGTGGAGCGTGTGTGTTCCATGCCACCTGGGCCCCAGACTGTGCTCATTTTCGATGAGCTTTCGGATTCCTTGTGCAGGGTGGCCGACTTGGTAAGATGCTTGCTGTAAGCCTTGAAGCTACCTCTCTGTCAAGCTGTTAAAATTTAAGCTAAGTTTATTAGGTTTAATGTCAGAGACTCTAGGGTTCAAAGCATCTGGTGCTTGGTTTGGCAGCATCTAGACTCACAGCGTCTGAGCTGTTTGAGAGCTGTTGGGTGTAATTTGTTATAGTGGGAGTAAGTCATTAGGAATGGGGAAAAAACGTATAGGAAAAGGTGATATGTAGAACTTGTACTTTAATATGTATAGTTAAGAAAATACACATGTGATGTATAATAAAAGAGTGATTACTCATATGCACAGAGTCTTCATTTGACAGAGATTTCTTCATTCATGAAAACTTCTACCAGAATTTTAAAAGGACGTTTACCTGTACATAAAAGCTAGTTTTTATAAACCTTCTCAGGAATGTCTTTTCCAATGAAAACTAAGGTTTGGATATGAAACTGATTGTATTAAAGACTTCCTTTTTTCATATTTTGAAGCAGAAATAGACATGTACCTAGATCTCCTCACTAAGAAGCCCATTGCTGAGATGGAAGGCATGAGTTTTTATCTGTCCCAAAGAGCCACCTCATTAGTTATGTCAGGGAAGGCAATTATAGTAGTGCACATAATCCAAAACTGTGAACCCTCAGGATCTTGTCAACTTGGTATTGGACTGTATATAGCTTTCTCTTCACATTCATTCAATATTGAGTCACCACCATGTTCCAGGCACTGTTCTAGGCACTGGGAATGTCATGAATAGACACACACAGTCTCCGACCTCATGGAGTTTATATTCTGATGTTAACTTTTCTTTTTAGATCTTTTGAGGCACCAGACCCTGGTAAGAGGTTTGCCTGGATTAACTGAATTAATCTTCTCAGCATATCTCCCATTTTCAGATGAGGAAAGAAAGGCAGTAAGAGGTGAAGTGATATACCCAGGGTCACCTAGCCAGTAAGTGGCAGAGCTGGGCTCAGAGGCCAGGCATCGTGGCCACAGAACTCATGCCCTCACCTGCTGTTCTGTACCTTCTACATGCTGTCTGGTTGCTTAGGGTCCAATGAATAGGTCTTCCTTACCTTGGAGAGGTTGGAGAGTCAGTTAGCCTCCCCATTTTTTAAAAAACTATTTATTTACTTTTAAGATTATACAGTAAAATTGACTCCTTTTTGGGGATGGTACAATTCTATGAATTTTATATTCCATCACCCCAAAAAAGCCCCTGTATTATAGTCACACCCAGCTCTCCCCTCTTACCTCTGGCAACTACCCATCTATTCTCCATCCCTATAGTTTGTCTCTTCTAAAATGTCAGATGAATGGAATCATTTGCCCTTTGAGAATGACCTCTCTCACCTTGCATAACACTTTCCCATCTTTGCTGTTCCTTGATAGGAACTTTTTTCCCCTCCCATACAACCTAATTGAGCAGGAACACCTTTCAGATTGTCATGCAGTCACTGTGAGTTTCCCCATTTTAAGGAAATTGATAAAGTATCTTAAACGATTTTTCCCAAAAGTAAAGTGAGGTGTGTTGCAGTCTTATTGTAGTCACTTCTTGGTTTAGTAGGGTCTTGGTTTTGTTCTGAAGTGGGTGTGTAGCAAGCACCTTGAATGATGGAGGACACGAGAGATGCACTGCCCGGGGACGCCTCACAGTGACCTTCTATGCTTAATTATGTCACTAAAACCTGAAAAGGAAAATATTTGTCAGGGAATTTCACTTATGTGCCATCACGTATTGGCTTTATTTGTTGGTGGCTTATTTGTTGTCTTAGCCTCCATTTTAATTAAGTGGTGTTCTAGGATTTATTTTTATTTTTTTTACATTTCTGCTTTTGCTTCTCGCTAAGAGATTTTAACTCTGCCTCATAGCTTGTCCTATTTTTGGAGATTTTTGTATTTATGAGGTATAGAAATATCTCATTAAAAAAGCTCTAAATGTGACTTATATGTGGAAATCTTTGGGTAAAAATATTCAAAGAACCTTCTTCCTTTTGAATTTTTAGGACTTTACCTGCCAGTAAGATCAATAGTGTAATAAGGCAAGGGTTTTATAAACTGTTATTTCCCACCAAATGGTCTTTTGGTTTTGCTTTCTTTTTCTTTTTTTCATACAGTTGCTATGTATGTATCACTATTACAATTGAATTTTTTTTAAGATTTTATCTATTCATTGAGAGAGAGAAGTCGAGAGAGAGCGAGAGCACAGCGGGGAGGAGGGGCAGAGGGAGAGGGAGAGGGAGAAGCAGACTCCCCGCTGATCAGGGAGTCCGATGCAGGGCTTGATCCGAGGACCCCGAGATCATGACCTGAGCTGAAGGCAGACGCTTAGCCAACTGAGCCACCCAGGCGCCCCACAAATGAATTTTAAAATGTATGCTGGTATTTTGAAATAAATATTGATTGTAAGTTCTGCAACATGTAGATTAGTAATTTATATAAATTGTAAATTTTACGTAGCTCATTTTTCAGGTGCTTTAGTACTAATGTTATTGTTACATCGAATGTATAAAACTATGGATTTAAATGTTTTTACATTGAAAACTATTTAATAATAAAATTAGGAAATTTTACCTTGTGGTGATTTTATTTCATATTATAGTCACACATGTTTCCGTGGAGAATGAAGACTGTAACTGATATTTTGTAGTTCCCTTGCATTTTTCTTTTGCAATATACTACAGTTAACATGAAAGCTAAAATCTGGTTTTATGTGCTCTCATTAAAAGAAGTAAAGAGAATCCTAGCTCAGTTTAATGCTAAAGTCAGTATCGAAGCCACTGCAACACTGGTAGTTGTGAGTCATTTCAGCTGAGACTCGGAATTCATATTTATTAAAAGGCCTATAAAGAGAGAATGCGCCTTTGTTTTCTGCACAAAGGCTAGAAAGTAGTTAAATCAGTCTTGAAACTGTGTTGTCTGTCAGTTGGGAAAAAAAAAAAAAAGCATCTGTCCTTGTTCTCTGGAGCCAGGCAGACATGTGAGCACCATACTGCAAACAACGTTAGTTAGGAAGTTTTAGAATATCTGAAATAAGATTCTGCTCTTTTGAACTGTAGAACTAGGAAGAATTCACTTGGTGTTTATATTTGAAGGAGAAAGGCTTTTCTAAAATAAGGTTAGTGGACGTATTTTCTTTGGAATGAAACCCACTTGATTCCAAGGAATAACAGAATTAATAAATGTTCAGCGAGATGCCGCCTAGCCCTACTAGTTTAGGAAAATGTCATAATGGAAATGCATAGGGCCAGCCAAATGGCACACTTGAAAGCTCAGGTTTTCATTTTTACCCTCAGATCTTGGAAGAAAGCTTTCCATCAAATTTCCTCTTGGTTTTGTCTTTCTTCTTTATTAGGCCGATTTTGTGAAAATTGCTCACCCTGAGCGTGCATTCAGAGAGGCGGCGGAAGAAGCTTGTAGAAGTATTGGCACCATGGTAGAAAAGTATGTTCTGCTCCCCTTCGTTAACAATCTCGGGTGACGTGGTCTTGTGGATTTGTGCTTGAGGAAATTGGTCTCCAGGGCTTGTCCCCGCAGGGTAGGGATGCCCAGTGCCCAGGGTGGTGGGGAAGAGGGAGGGCCCTGGGGGCAGGCCCCTGAGTGCTCCTCCCCGGCTCCTGCAGTGTAATGAGTTGTTTATCTGTTTGTTCATCTGTTTTGTCACTTAACTTCCTTGTCTGTAGGTAAAGTAATAACATGGTTTGCCTCTTAGATTTATTGGGAGGAAAATGAGATAATAAAGTGCTTCTAGGGGCATCAGGTGCATAGCAAACATCTACTCTCCTTATTGTTGTGTACATCAGTGAGAGTTTTTCAGTATCTCAGTGGCAAGTTGGAGTTTCTTGATTATCCTCTGATTAAACTGCTATTGCATCGATGGCCGTGGCCCAGTGACAAGTAGCCTTGCGGTCCTTTGGATCTGGGGTGGGGAGGGGTAGTCTAGGGAGATCATAAAACTCTCAGGGAGGGCTGAGGCAGGCTGGGGCTTTGATGAAGTGAGTTATTTTCAAGCAATCTTGAGGTAAATTGAAATATTTTAAGCCATTTATGAGAGCTCGAAAGTGCTGGTGAAAATGACTTCGAGACGGACGGCGCCATATTCAAAAGCACTTAGTGCGTGGGGCGCCTGGGTGGCTCAGTCGGTTAAGCGGCTGCCTT